TATATATGGCCAAACTTGATAACCCTTTTGTTTTTGCATGAGCCAAAAACCTATGGATAATGTAGAGCAGCATTTCTCAACTAGGGTGCCGTGGTACCTTGGAGTGCATTTAGGTTTACTAAGGGTTGCCACAAAATGTGAAGAGGGTCCTCATTTAAAGAGGAGACTCTGATGTGAAGTGGGAACCCCATTTTTTGTGTTTAGCATGGTTGCCCCCTTAAAATCTAAACCAGACCCCTTTCTGGAATAGCGGTCTGATAAGGATTTTGAAGGGACCAGACATCAATTTTTATATTGATGCTTTTTACATTTTAGACTGGGGTTTCTCAACATTTTTCATCATTTTAAAGGGTGCTAAAAAAAGGCTGAGAAACGATGTCGAGAAAAAGAGGACATGAGTTCACACTGGGGTTACTGTGCCACCAGATGTTCCATTCTTTCTGTTGAACATTACAGTAAAGAAAACTGGATTTGATGAATTGCTTGCCCATAGCTTGGCTGATTACCTGATCTGAAATTATATATTGGCTGGTAACCAATAACAGATTAATGTGTCACATGTCCAAATTTTGAATTTTTACATAGATTGACTTGATCAGTTTCTCATAATCAGAAATCAATTCACATATAAAGCTGTGCAGAACTAAAGTTAGCTTTACCAGTCCAGCATAGAGTATGCAATTTTTTATCAAAGAGGTGTAGTAGTTAGCATGTTCTATCTGTGTGATCCTATACTACTTCTACATCATTGTGCACTTGAAGGGAATCTTTCCATAATAAAACATAGAGACTTCCATTGCTGATTTCACATTCTGCAAATGTTAGTTGGCTGACTGCCATGCTGATCATCTGGCTTCAATACTTTGGGGGTGATTTACTAACCTAAACACACGCACGCACCAGGTGCGTGTGCATTTTTACACAGCAAAACATATTTATCAACCAAACACGAGCAACGTGTCACATTTTCATGCCGTTATGGCGCGTTTTTATGTATTTACGTACGTGCGCGTCATGTAGCATGTGCCATAGGCTACACGCCGCTCTAATAGCGGCATGCAAGTCTCTAAAAGCATATTTCCACTAATGCCATATATGGAAAAATCATGCACATGATGCATATATAATGCTGCTTCACAGTTTAGACAAAAATGGTTAGTTCATGCATTTATATTCCTGCATTCATCAACGCAAGCAACACAACGTAGAGCTAATTTACACAACATCACCTTGCAATTCATGCAGGGCTTTGCACAACACACCTGCTGGGTGTGTACACACTACAAAGGTGTCTAGATTTCCCCAATAGATCATGCTGGGAGGGAACACACTACAGAGGTGTATACTTGTTTGTGGTGTGTTGATAAGGTTAGTAAATCAACCCCTTTGAGTCACTGACCCAGGACAAGTATGCATGTAACAACTTGTGAAGCAAGCATGTGCAACGGCAAACAATTAATTTTGTTTCGCTTAGTTTCTATTCGTCAATCAAATAAATTAATTTAGTCATATTTGTTACATTAGAATGATTTGTTATTTTGGCAAAATTCATTTTTTGGAAGACTGGATAATAATAGGTAGTAGACAAGTTGTTTGAAATTCAATTTGGTTGATATTCGGATGATATGATGATTCAGATGGTACGATTTTTTCCAACCACATTCAAAAAAGGAATCTCAACATATGAATTAATGAATGACCCAGAATTTTGGTTATAATTTCTATTCGTTGGCTTTCATACTATTGTTATTTGGAAAGTTGGATATATCTGAATCTGCAAATAAATTTGTCTGAATTCTGATTACTAACGAAACTAATCGATCATGTCTATTGTGAGGTATGTAAGAGCTTGTGACTGTTCTGTGACTAAGGATATGCATACTTATTCCATGTCTATGACTTATACTGTAGCCAGCATATCAGACTAACAGCTATGTAACTAGCATTCTACGAGGTGAGGTCAACATTGGCAGCCCCCCATAAAACTACCATAAAAGGTTTGCTATAAGTGATACAAAATCATAAAGCACATTTGCAAACATTTCAGGCTGAGTTAATGTGTATGTATAGGTCAACCTTTTTTCTAGGGTGTAGATAAAGTAGGAAATGGTTAAGATCCCCTTTGCTTAATTTTTGACTGTCTGTGTCTCATTGTGGGAATTTAATTTCCCTTTACTAAAGATGAAACATGTTAAAAGAAATGTCTCTGTTCTAAGCCCATATTTACAACCGAACATTTTGTCACGCATTTCCCAAAGTGTGACAACGAGCAACATGAAGATTCCCATTCTATTCATATTTTTGGCCCAATAGAATTCAATGGGCATGCCTGAAAGTGTAAAACCCAAGTGCTTTAGTAGTTGTGTGTGTTCTTTTGTGCCTAACAACTTCTCTCCTCCATCTAACAACCTTAGGTCTGTGAAAAAAATGGAAGATTTGGGAGTGTCCATGCTGTATATAGAGATTTTCATCCACCTGGTGAGGGCTCACAAGAACCTTTACAACCCCAGTGATGCCCATTACAAGAAGAGTGGTGAGGGGTAAGGGCCCGGGAAGAAATTGGGCATGAGGTTTTTCCGATTTGGGGGCTCTGATAACAAAAGAAACCACAACACCACACAGAAAAATCAGGAAGCAGATATAAGGATGTTAATAACATATGATGTCAAAGATGATGCTGCTTTCCACTGCCCAAAATGAAAACATCTGAAGCTTGAAAAAAATTTGAAACATTTCTGTGTTAAACACAGAAATGCTAGAACCATGCGGATCTTGTAAAAATGTATCAGTATGGTGAGTAAAGATAGATTAAAAAAACATGTAAGTTTAGCATTTGCACCATTTAAAGGCATTTCGGTAAAACTTCAGATTAAAGGCTGTAGGATGGAAGTTTATCCAAAGATTTCTCCTGGGTTCAATGAAGGCCAGGGAAGAGTGCTGTGTTGTTAACACATCTCTCAGTACCTACTCACATATACACATATACTTCATCTAATCAGACTCTTTTATTTCTCACATACTTAAACAGATTGCAGGTGGTTCCATACCAATTTGTAGCCTTTTTACAGCTTCCTGCGGTGTAGTGTGATTTGCAAAACATGTTTAATTCTTCCTCTATAGAATTATGCAGAGTAAAATAGATTTGCTATTGTGTGTTTCTATATACATTTAGTGCTGAAATAAATATAAACAAATAATAAATAAATAAAGCTGCTTGCAGCATGCTAATGAGTCTTCCGGTTCTGGTATTGGTATGAAGTCTAATCACAGGCTGAGTTGTGTAAGGGGAAATCTCTGTATAAAGATAATGGGGTCTAAATACTGCAGGCAGATAGGCTGTACACTTTGAAAGGGAGTTTTCACTTTGCAAGGGACTTGTCCCTTAGCTTAGTGAACGTGGTGACAATTCACTTTGCAAAGAATACCCAATTATGTATAAGGAAAACAAAAATGATTGGATGATGAAAGTCAACAAAGCTTCCCCTCACATGATACGCTAATGAAATATTACCCTGCAAAGAAAAACATCTCTTGCAAAGTGAACAACCTTTTTGCCTTCAGTAAATGAACCCAACTGCTAAGCTTTTTAGCATAGGACATTGCACAATATCTAATGCAGTGGCTCAGTTTAAGAAGTGAATGTTTTTGGACATTCAGATGCTAAAATCTCCTATGTCGCAGCACAAGTTGACAGATATTCAGTAACACCTTGCTCCATCACAGTAAAGGGGTCTAGGAGAGCTAGGGGCAACAGAACCTGAATCAGAAGCAATATTTTTATGTCCACTCCGATAAATTATTATTATTTAATTATATTCGTAGTTTGACAATTCTGTAGTTCTCCACCTCAGAAACCTTTGTCACTTTTGTGCGCTGGCAGCCTTAAACAATTTCCCACGGCATGTGAAGTTCTCCAGTGAGTTGAGGTCACCTGGAGTAAAGTGCACCATATTTTCTAATGCAGTGAACTGAGGGCCTCCATACAGGGTCCATAGCCACAAAACATTAAATTCTAAAAAAAATATCATTTTGTTACCTGTTTATAGAGAGCTTCTGTGCTAACAGCTGCCAGTCCTTTCCTTTGGAGTTAGGTGTGTCAAACGTTGCACATATCCTCTGCCTGATGGAGTGTGGAATTTTGAAGGCCTTTGGACCAGTGTGTGCCAGGAAATTAGTTTCCTCAGGTGCAAAGAAAGCTATGGTCTCCCGCTCATTCTAAAGATGCAAAAAATGCTAATCAGTGAATAATATTAATAAACCATAAATTCATGGTAAAACAAATTAGCATGAAAGCCATAAAGCACCTAAGAAAAATGGGTTTGCAAAAATAAATGCTGGGGAACCACACAATTTATTTTATCATATTTAGAACATCAGCTGTGATGGTGACATTTAACTTTGTGCATTTCACCCTTCGACCTTTATTCAATATAAATGAAGGTGCTGCGGTAGGACCAGAGGAAGTTATTTTGCACACAACATAATGATGCAACTTACACAGCAACCTATAATATTTCCCTTTCTAATGTGAGTTAGGAGCGCCCACACAAGAACAGGAAAGGGATACACAGACCTCTGAACACAATGTGGTCTTGCAAGCTTCTAGAAGCACATATGTAGAGTATGTAGGCCCCAAAGCACTAATAATGTAGCAGGTGCTTGTCATGCCTGGACCCCAGTAGCTTCTTCCTGTTTTAAAAGTTCCACTCCTTCTGTATGTTTCATATCAAATCTTATATATCCAGAAAAACTTTGTTTTGCCTTTCAAATCCAACCTCAACTGTGTCTTTTTCATAGTAAGAAAAAAATGTTGTGTGCTTTATTGTAAATAAATATAAAAGCACATACCCAAAAATGCACAAAAAGGATGAAAACAAAAAAAAATAACAAGGCAATACATTTTAATAGGAGACTAGGGTATCTCCCATTCTCTGGAACTCTTTACCCTAACCTGTCTGTCTATCTCCCACTCTGACTGCCTTAAGGCGATCACTAAAGACACATCTCTTTAGGGAAGCCTATCACACTTCAAACTAACAACTGAACTTTCTCAAACAATTCATTCCCACACAGCTCCTCAAGTATCACTTGCCCCTCCCTCTTAGATTGTAAGCCCTCAGGGGGCAGGGTCCTCCTTACCATCTTGTCTTGAATTGTATTGTAATTATAATGTCTTCCCTATATTGTAAAGCGCTGCACAAACTGCTGGCGCTATATAAATCCTGTATAATAATAACAATAATAATAATAATAATAACAATAATAATAATAATGATTCCAATACATTAAACACCATTAAAGTCCATCTAAGGCCTACATTTCTTTCTTCACAGATTGATAAATAGGCATTTTAGTGCCTCTTTTTTAATGGTAACCAAGCTGCAATGCTGTTTTCTCAAGTACACTGCTAGAGCATGCTTGAAGAGTTGTAATGACTGTATAGTGCTTTTTGGTTAATTTTCCTAAGCTCTTGCAGGTAGAGGGATGTGCTGTCAATGTAATGGGATGTGAGCAAAGCTGCCCATGGCTACTCACTGATAGGGCTATCAGACATGCCAACATCTAAGAAGCAATGGTAGCAGCAAGGGTGACAAGAGTGAAATTACATAACTATCCAATGGTTCTATTGGCTGCATCTAGAGGTATTTACAAAATGTTCCAGGAGGAGCTTAGAAAACAGAAAGTTACTAGTTTAGGCAGCTCACATCACATATGTGGTTTTATAGTTTGACAGAGTTCTCAAACAAGCAATATCCGTGTAGTCAGTTTACTAATAACAGGTGATAACAGATAATAACTGAAGCATAACACTTCTACTGACCTGATGCAATGCAAAACAAAAAAGGCCAATATCATAAGTTGGGTATAGCTGACTGTTGCCAAGAATTATGCTAAAAAGTTGGAGAACAATCTGAGGGTGTGAGGTGCCAAAGTAGCTGGAGATTCAGATTCATACCAGATTACTTTATTCTTTAGGCCACTCATACATTTTTTCAATTATTCACTCATTTCCACCCACACCACTATTTAATCATTTGTAAAGATTGTGAGCAAAATAGATAAGTTTAATTTAGTATTAAAAGGAGCTAGTTATAGCAGAGAAACATTGAAAGAAGTTTCCAGACTATTCTTCCTACAAAGTTTTGTGGAACTTTTCAGAGCATAGCGATTTCCAATAATGGGCTACCTTTTAACAGCCCTCATTCAAAATCAACATTTTCTGGGGAAGAGAATCATTGAAACTTAAAGTAGGACTGAAGCCTAAAGCTTTTTTTTATTATTTTGAATAGAGTAAGGGAGGATTATAATGTGTCTCATTGGGGATATTTAATTTCCTGTTTAATAAATCTACAACAGGAAGTGAGAGGAAATCACTACAAAGAGAGGGAAATCCCTAGTGGTCAGTAGAGTCACCGGAGCTAGTGTCCCCATTGCAAGATGTTCTGATGACAACCCCAAATTTGAGATTTTCTTTTACTTTCACTTTCAGTGATAACAGCCACTAGGACAAATAGAGAGGGTGAATCTCCCTAACAGGGACACAGACAGCAACAAAAATGAGATAGCTGTTCTGATTCCTCTCCACTCTATCCATAACAGAAAAAATGGCTTCATTTGAAATGTAAGGAACCAAAGTACATATTCATTGTAGTAATCTTGGCTGAATGATCAACGTAAGGGATTGGTGCAGTCACAGTGGTTGATGTGAATAGGAGAAATACATACTGATGACAGCAAAGATAAGAGTTTTTCTTCCATTTAACGCTTTGTGAACTTCACAATAATATACTCTACGCCATAGAAAGCTCTGCTTGTAGTAGACCTACACTCTAATGTTACCCTAAAGCTATATCAAAGTAACTCTATACCCAGATTGTGGACAAAAAGAGCTTTAAAACAAGCCCTAGCCTTCCTCTTCCTTCACCTAGCTAATTGTAATGTGAAGTAATTCAGGGTCACATGGTCACTGTGATAGCCAGTCACAATGATCACTAGTTTTAGAACCTTCCCCTGTGCTGTTTTTCCTTTGTAAGGAAAGCCCATTGAGTTCCAGTGCAAGAAGACCAATGCAGGGACATACACCTGCATATACTGTGGTGTGTGGTTTTGTACATAGGATCGCTGGCAGACATGCAATAGGATGCAGGGGCATGCTTGTTAGCATGAAGGCTAAGCGGCATGTGCATGAACCTAAAGAGCCTATGTCATCTGGTGTGTGCCATGAACAGTTTGTTGCATGGTCTTCAGCTAGTTGCTCTTAACCTGTGACCAGAGCTACTGCTTCGGCCTTCCTATCTTGCACTCTGACCTGTCTCTGCATCTTGTTCTCACGCTGTGATCCTAACCTGTGTTTTGGACTCTGCTCCCTTCTTTCTGATTCAGTACTTTTCTGTCCAACTTCTCCGTCCTGACCTAGTCCTGTATCCTGACATTGTCTCTGCCTTATGATTCTGTACTTTGCTGCCCAGCTCTTTCTGACCTTGGAATGTATCCTGACACAGTCTCTGCCTCCTGATTCAGCACCTCGCTTCCTGGCTGTTGTAGATCTTTGGCTTGAGTCCTGGCTATGCTCTTGCCTCCTGCTCAAGTGCTGCCATTACTGCCAGCACAGCCTGCAAACATTTGCCCTAATATTGCTCTATGTACTAACATTCCCTGTCCCCACTTCAAACAGAGATGGAAATGAGGTGCAAGAGAAGCCCCCCTCTTCAGCTCAGTCTTCAACAGTTAGATGACACTCTTTAACAGAGATTATGAAAGGGATCAAAAGTCTAGATTTTTTAGTCACATGACTAGCACTGGAAGGAACTGTTAGCTGTGTTTCCTTAGCCCACATTTATATGCTGAATTAATACAGCCATTCTATTACTCTTCATTTATTCATCCCAAGAAGGCTTTTAACATAGCGATAGGTTAACAATGAAATAAAAGACCACTTCTAGACAAATTTGTTTTGTGCCTTGTACTGTAATGTATTAATGCTCGAATAGGGATGCAATTGCAGTAAGTTGTGTTTCTGAATACAACCTATATATTATTTTTCTTCTTCACTCCCACACCCCCCAACAATACTTTTGCAAAAAAAAAAAGTGCACTGATCTACACAAGTCTAGATTCATCTTAAACTCCTTATTTTACAGCACTCAAAATTCTTGTTTCTACAGGCAAGTGACAAGGGGTTGCCTGGCCAAGATGTATTTAGTTCTAGAACGCATCACCAGCTCAGCTGTGTAAACCTGACACTAGAAACTGGCACAGACAAGGTGCGTCACATGCCATATCAGTTTAAATGAAATCTGCAGGGAAGTGGTAGGTTTTGTAATCTGCACATCTAAGATAAAACACTCTAGATTCCCTAGGGGACTGTAAAGCAAGCAAGCTGTTCTCTTTGGCAAAAAAAAACAACGCCCCCCCCCTCCCCCCCTCTCTCTCATGCTTCCCTCTCTCACCTCCTGAGACGAGGAATCAGGCATTCTGCATTAACAAATCTGTTTGAAATGAAGTGCCGCATTCTTTTCTTACCTCCAAAATCCTACATAGAAAAATACATTTTGCCATGATCCAGATACAGGTTAGGGCTGACAATGTCTTTGAAGAAATGGACATACAGGTTTAGTTCTACTGTATATCTTGTGGCAATAAGCTACACAGTGTCATGACCCCAGTTTGTTAGTTTGATATCAACTGAGAGCTGCTTATAACTCTGAAATATTGTATATTGCTTTTTGGGTAAAACAAATGTGCTGCTGTTTTATTTGATAAACTTTAAATGGAAACTATAAGCCTGTGACTATGGGTTTTCTAAAAAGATAGCACAGTAGTCACCTTTCAAACTCTCTGAGCCATCTAAAAAAGGACAGTCAGGAATAAGCAGGGGGAGAGGAGCCACTGTGCCAACCCAATTTCCTGATGGGGAACTGCAGCAGAGGGCGGGTACAATGCTAGTTTACTATTGGCTATTGCAAATTGAAATAGCCAATAGTAATGTCATAATGCTTTTCAATGGGAACATTTTTTATTTTTTTTATTCTGACATTGCTCGTGTCAGAATAAAGAAAAAAAAGACACAGCTGTTTTTCTCTCCTTGGCGGCCGGGAGCCGTTTGGAGATCAGTGTCCCTGGTTAGCAGGTAACCAGGGATGCTGATCTCTCTGAAAGTGGCCGGAGCCAGCCATAAGATCACGGCTGGCTCCACCCAGCTGTCAGAAGCAGGC